GCGCAGATCAGGTGTGTAAGGCAAGAACACGGTGCCGGCTGGGGTTGGAGAGACTCGGGGTTGGCGTGGGGGGACACCCATGGCTTTTAGGGGAGGGAATGAGGCGGTGGGTGATGTCTGGCATCTCTCGCAGCCCCGCTCACCTTTACCATGCTGCAGCAGACCCGTGTCTCCAAAGGCAGCTCTGAATTCTGGGGGAACGCCAGCCTGGACGGGCAGCTCAGCCATCTCCTGGAAGGGCTTAATGTTACCCAGGTACTGCCGCTGGAGCCCCCAGATGCCTGGGCCAGGCGGCAGCAGGATGTGGCCACCTACCTGGGCTACTTCGGCCAGCTGGTGAAGCTCTTCAGCAAGGAGAGGCCTATCAACTGTGAGTGGTACCCTGGGAGGGCACAGGCATGGGTCCCAATGGGGTAGAGGAGCCCCCCCTTCACTGCCTGGGCACAGGGACAGCCTGGCAAAGGGATGGGGACACAGCCACGTGCAAATCCTCTGGGCAAAAGGAGCCCTTCTGTTGAGCTGGGAATTTCTTAACCCAGAGCCCATCCTGGGAACAGGATGATGGTCAACCTCCTGCTGCCCCTTGGGAAAAGGGCTGGGGGCTACAGTCTGAGGGGATGGGGAGGTGTAGGCATTCTGCCTGCACCCTGCCTGTACTTTGCCTTCATTCCTCTCTGCATCCTGCCAGCATCCCATCTGCATCCTGCAGCCACTGTGGGAGGTGTGGGATGCTGATGACAATGGCTTCAGGTCCCTGCCTGCATCGCTCCTGATGTTCCTGCCCAGGCTGTGTTTCCCCTTTGCTTCCTTTTTTACCCCCAAACCAGTTTTGCCCCAGCTCTGCATTTCCTTACCTGGCCCTTAGGAAGCACTTTCTCACCTTGGGGTCTTTCCTCACCCGGCATCTCCATGCTCCCTGTACCACATCCTTCTGTGAGGGTGAGGAATAGCTCACTCTGCACCGAAAACCCGCCCATCTCTGTGACCCTGAAGCTGTGCTGTACGCAGATAAGGAAGGGGAAGATAAAGCACGGTGCCCATCTGTTGAGAAAAGTTGTCCATGCAGCTAAACTGAGTGAAAACAGATCAGAGGTTGGGTCTTGTAGTGCAAGGCTAAGACCCCACAAACTCAGTGCACAGCTTGATGCTGGTGACAACCACAGGCTGCCAAGGGTAGGAGCGTGTTGACCCTGATCTCTGTCCCCGCAGACACCCAGAGCCTGTGCTGCCGCTTCGGCTGCTGCCTCTTCCCCAATGGCACAACCCAAAGCTTCTACGAGGTGACGCTCAATGGGACGGCTTTCCTGAGCTTCCATGTCTCCAATGCCACTTGGGAGCGGCGCTGGCCCGGCAGGGATGCGGTGGCCACCTTTGCTGAGAGGGAGCTCATGAAGTACCCCAAAACCACCCGGGATCTCCAGCATTTCCTCAACACAACCTGTGTGGGCATCCTGCAGGCTCAGAGTGCTGCGACGGGTCCGTGCCAGGTTTGGGAGGGCAGATGGTGGCTTGGTGGGGATGAGCCCTGTCTCACCTCCATCCCTCTTATTGCAGGTAAACAGAGCAGCCGGTCGCACGCTCCACTGGTGCTGGGCCTGATCCTGGGGACCTTCGCCTTGCTGGGCATGGCCGTAGGGATCTTCCTGTGCACAGGAGGGAGCTGCTAGTGGAGACAGTGGTCCCACATCACCCTGTGGAGACAGGGAATGGACCCATCTTCCTCCCGTGGAGGCAGGGATCAAGCCTGTGCCCCACAAGGGATATATCTCCCCAGCACCACAGGCTTTGCTCCCAAAGGACATCAGTGGGTTCCCTTCCTGGTCCAAGCTGGGTTGACCCCCCCCAAGCAGCAGTGCCATGCCCTGGGGATGGCCCCCACACCAGGCTGGCACGATGCACTGAGTCTTAACACTGAAATACATTTGGCACGAACAGAAAAAGATGGGGAAGCAAAATGGGTGAAATCAGCAGGAGAAACAACCGAGTAAGGGTTTAAAAGGATGGCATCATACCCTCATTTATCCCTGTTTGATTGGGATAAATGCATGGGAAGATGGATGTCAGGCTCTGTGGCAGCGCTCGGAGATGTCATGTAATAAAACCACCCATCAGCTCTCACAGCACATTTGGCTGCTCTCATTTCTCCCCCACAGCGCTGACGTGGGGCTGCAGATCCATCACAGAGGAGGGCTGTGGTTGCTTTGGTTTGACTCAATTAAGTCGCTTCTCCAATGGCCAAGCAGCAATGCTTCGTTTAGTTTTCATTCCCTCATCTTTGTATGAGGCATCGAGGCTGAGCACAGGCAGCTGTAACAGGACAGTCCGTCCCAGCAGATTAACGTGCTCTGTCATCCCATAAGGATGCTGTCAGAGGGATACAGAAGCAGGGGGATGCCAGGCATGGGGAGATGCACTGGGGACCCCAAGGTGAGAAACCACTCCCCAAGGACCAGCTAAAGGCATGCAGAGCTCTGTTACTAGTGCTACTGTGTTATTAGTACGACAGCATTCATGCCTTTGTTTTCTGTTTCTGCAGTCTAGATCGGAGATAAAAGCTCTTTGACTGTTTAGACTTTGGTTACATTAATAATTAAACTCTTGGCTGCATTTCCCTTTCACCCATAGCAAGATTTTGAGCACATCAGCCCTCTCATGCCCATCTCTGTTGCACCAAAGGCAAGAAGGGCTGGGGATGAGCCAGGAGCTGGCTTGGGCCACTGAAAGAGGGGACAGCATAGGAGCTAGGAGCTTTTCTGTATTAACTTCCAGCTCGTTCCTTTCTAAATACCCTTCCCTGCAGCTCAAAGAAAGAAAGAAAGGATGGGCACGGGGGAACATGGGAAGAGAGATGGAGGACAGGAAGGGGATGGGAAGATAACAGAGTAGTTGCCCTTAAGGAGGGATGTAGGAGGAGGCCTCCAAAGACCACATCTCATCATGCTGGCCATCGGCCACAGCACAAACAGCTCCGCCAGGCTCCCAGGCAGGGGCTGAAGCACTCCCCACCCTCCAGCCAGCTCCTTTGCACAAGGGGAATGGCAGCCAAGAGGTCACAGGATCCAAAACAAGGCTGAGGCTGATGAATGTCACTGCTTGGCCCCGAAAGAAGTGTCCTTGGCCAGCAGCTTTGCTGTGGGCTGAGCACTACACATCCCTGCTGTGGGCATCAGAGGACAGGAGGCTGATGCTGAAGGTTAAACGATGTAGGTTTGCTCCCCACAAAGTGATAAGAACTTTCGTAGCCAGCTTTCAGCAGGAAGAAACTGCTGCATACCCAGCTCTGCCCCAGATGTTGGACTTGGGGCATCACTGTTACCTACACATGGAGGCGGGTGTAGCACCATGGTCCCAAGACACAGAGTGATTCTTATGCCATGTGTGTCACTGGGCACAGACTGGTAGCAGGGATGATGGCACCAGGGACAGACCTGGGCTGGAGAAACTGGGGAGGTCTGGAACAACAGGGCTTGTTTTGCTTTTGGACAGATGAAGAAGTCTCTACTTCAAAGCTGTATAAAACCTTTTTCCTGTCCCCAGTCCTTGGTGCGCATTAGCTGCAGAAGGAGAGAGCTGCAGAAAGGAGCAGACTTTGCTGCTGGTCTCTTGAGTCTGGCAGTACTCACAAGGGGATGGGGCAGCACCCAGCAGGGGGCATCCCTCTGGAACTGCAGAATCCCAAGAAACAGTCTCATCTTGAACTGTGCCCATGGGCAATGCACCCAAAGCTGCAGGGCCACCTCCCTGGTGGTGACCAGCACCCGTGCTCAACACAGACACGATGGCCAAGAGCAGAGGGGTATGATGATAGTATCTGCTCCAGCACATCACAGACCCAGAATCTCTCTTCCTTATCCCAAATTGCCTCATAACAGGGTCACCAACACCTGGCCCCATGTACCATGCTGGGGACACACGGCCAGGCTGCCCCAGCCTGTGAGCTGGGCTCTGCCCCCATCACCGCTCTGAGGTGTGCTATGGCACATCTATGGCTGATCATCTCCCAGATTTAGCTATTCTGCTATAGCCTTGATCACAGCTTGGGACAGGCACTAACACTTAGCTGTGTATCCTGTCAACTGAGGGTTGTTTTCAGTTTGCTACTTGTTTTGCTTCCTGCAGGAGGGTGAACAAGCCCACGCACAGACCTTCAGAGGCTTTAACCCCAAAGCAGCATCTTCCCCAGAGAAAACCATCCTAGTCATCTACACTGATCACCACATGAGGCTTTGCCTCCCATGTGCCATATGGTTTCCATCGCTCAGCTCTGCTATCACTGGCTTGGATAAGGGTTGAGATAAGATACTCAGCCTCAAACATTGTTCCAGTGAGTAAGATGATGCCAACGTGCTGAGAACTAGCTTTCCCTTTCACCCATGTCCCTTGGGGTGAGAGGCCTTCCAACACCTCCAGCCAGCCCTCCTTGAGGAAGGCATGCTTTTTTGGGTGCGACAGTGTTTTGGGGGTGGAAGCTACTTGGTATCTTCTTTCTAGCAGCATCCTAATGCAGCATGAGTGGGCAGGTCCCTGGAAACACTTAGCAAGGGAAAGGGCTGTGCTAGTGCTTGCCTCCTTCATAGGGCATAGGGATGCCCAGGACCCATCACTGCCCTCTTCCCTTTCCTCTCACCTCCCAGGCCAGCGTGCCTGACCACACCAGAGGAAATGGGAGGAGAAAGCTGGCTGCTGGCCACAGTCAACACCGAGCAGGGCTACGTGGCACTGGGGACGAATGGAAGCTTCTGGGCAGCGGGATACCATCAGTGCTGCCACACCTCCTGCCCTGCCCCAGCCAGGCTGTCCCCTCCCTGGGGACCACTTTGGGCTGAGCAAGCCATCCGCTGCTCCTGCCATGGGAGCAGAAAGGGACACTGCTGTCTAGAAAGCACATTAAAGACTCCAGGGAGGAATCATCGCTTTCACCTTCCCTTCCTAGCCAAGGATCCCCCTTGTCCTCAGCCATTTGAGCAGATGTATTCAGGAACACTGAAGATCTATGTGCCTTCAGAGCAATTTTATCCTGGCATCAGTCACTTCTCCCCTCTTTCCTCCCTCCCTCCCCTGCCTGTCTCTCACAAGCAGAAAAGTTTAGACACGCATAGATAAGTACTTTAAAATAATAAGCTCTTAAGTAAAAACAAAAGAAAAAACAAACACTGTACTCACAGAGAAGTTTCCATGGAGAAAAAACACTTTTCCACCCCCTGGGGATGAGGGAATGTTCTATGCAAGCAGTACCACTTGCTGTAGTAAGAAGAAAGACAGCAGTGGCCTTCTGCATGGCTAAAGCCCTTGGGGTCAAACCACACCTTTGGGCCAGACTGCTCTCCAGGACCCACATACATGATGCTTAAGCCCTTGTGTGCAGCCCCAAGGTGGCCAGTGGTATCCTGGGATGCATTAGAAAGAACATGGCCAGCAGGTCAAGGAGGTGATCCTCCCTCTCTGCTCTGCCTTTGTGAGGCCTCACCTGCAGTGCTGCATCCAGCTCTGGGCTCCCCAGTAGAAGGCAGACACACAGCACCTGGAGCAGGTCTAGCAAAAGGCTACTAGAAAGGGTCTGGAGCATCTTTCATGTGATGAAAGACTGAAGGAGCTGGGCTTGTTCAGCCTAGGGAAGACAAGGCTCAGGGAGAATCTGATCAGTGTGTGTAAGTACACAAAGGGAGGGTGGCAAGAGGATGAGTCTGGGCTCTTCTCGGTGCTGCCAGGAGATAGGACAAGAGGCAACGAGCATAAACTAGAACACAGGAAGCCCCACCTGAGCATGAGGAAGAACTTCTTTGCCTTACGGGCAATTGAGCACTGGAATAGGTTGCCCAGAGAGGTTGTGGAGTCTCTTTCCCGGGAGGCATTAAAGAGACATCTGGACACAATCCTGAGCAATGTGCTCTAGGTCACCCTGCCTGAGCAGGGAGGCTGAATTAGATGACCCCTCAGTGGTTCCTTTCAGCCTCAGCTAGTTTGATTCTGTGAACACCTAAGCCTCCTAAGAAGCATTTATGAGATGAAGGGGTACATGCGCTCTAGGACTCACTCACACCAGGTAAATGCTACTGAAATACAAGATGCAGGATGTCACAGACACTGAACAGCTTCCACAACCTCCCCGGCCAAACACCCTGGGGCCCTTGGAGGACAGATACCTTCCCCCATGATGCTGGAAGCAGCACAAGATTCCTCAGGCAAGCAGACAAAACTGAATGGAAGCATTTGAACCAGGCCCTAGCAAGCACTAGTGTATGCTGGTGCCTGCAGAGAAAGCATAGAAATCCTGGAAGTTTTGTTTGAAGGTGGGAAAGGCGGAGGACCCCAGCAATGCACAAAACAGTGGGGAAAGAGGAAGGAAGCAGAGCTGCTTGCTATGATTTGGGGCTTTCTTTCCTGTTCTGATTCCCACCCTTGTAAAGGCTGGGGCTTTGCAGCTACTGTTGTTCTGCACAGCACTGACTCTCACAGGAGTACAGACCCACAATGAAAATTAAAACAACCTACAAAGGAAGGAAAAGAATTAGCAGGAAAAGCAGCAGCAGTAGGAACAAGTACTCATGCCTGAAATAAACGCACTGCCTGCTGCTAGGGGTGCAGGTAGGAAAGGTCACACCACCTTCTGGGAAGTTGAGGCTTTGGTGTCAAATCCCAGCTTTTGGCTTTACTGCTACAGGAGAGCACTGGCAGCATGGCTATGCACCAGCAGAATAGCAAGGCCATCATCAAACAGATCCTTGAGAGGCTGAGATAACAGGAACCAGCCCCATGCACAGGGATATCTTAAGACGACTGTCTTCGAAATCTGGGGTTTCTTAAGAAATCTAATCTAAGGGGGGGATGTGGGGACAGAGCTGCCTATACACACCTGGAAAGAGGTGGTCATCATGTGGGCACTCAATGGCAGCAGCCTCAGCTGGGTTTAAAGCTCACAGTTAGGTATTTGGAGGAGGACAAGCATTGAGACCAAGGACTTGGTATGCCAGGTTTGTCTCATCCCCCCCTCAGCTGCTCCTGAAGCCCCTGCTTCACTCTGCCAAGGCAAATGTACAAAGCATCCAACAGGAAACCTTCCCGGTGCTGCTGCTTCCGCTGCGTCAGCTCCCACTGGAGCTGAAGGGTTGGGTGGGACATTGCTAGACCAAAGGCAGCACACAAAGGCTGGGCCAGAGCTGCTCTCCACCTTCCCGAGCTCACATACAAGCTACTTAAAGCCCACAATGAAGAAAACAAAACAACACTAAACAACCTACCTCGAGTTTCCTGCTGCTGCTTCCAGCAAACATTTCCATGTATTAAAACCCACTTATCATCCAGGTCCTGGGCATGTCCCAAGGTGTAAGGATCCCACTTTATAGCTCCTAAGAGCCCAGAGGGAAGAAGCAGAATGCTGTCCTACACCAAGAGACTCGTTTCTCTTGCTGCCTACAGCCCTCTAAGTGAAGCAGTCTCTGACTGACTCAGGCACCTCAGAGAAGTTTTTTGGCTACCAGTCTGGAAGAATGTGTGGAGATGAGTGTCTGATCAGGATACATAAGCAAGCAGAGTCTTCATGACAGAGACCAGAGCAGCACACAAACCTCCCCACTAGGTTACCAGGCCCTCAACTAGTTCAAATAAAGCAGCTACAGAGCTTTTGCTGGTATTAACAGCTGTAGTTTCACCCTTTACAGCAGCTCACAGCTTAGGTCATGGAAAGGACTATTCCTTGTTAGCTGTCCCAGGGCAAGGGCTGCTGAAACACATTACCAGGTAGTTTTTGCCATTCCAACTCAAACATCTTTATTTCTGTGCTGTTGGCTTCATCTGTCCTCACAGAGGACAGACTGCAGGAGGTAAGTGAACTTTTCCAGACAAGCTGTTGGTTACATTTGGAGGCAACAAGGAAGAACCAAGGCCATGAGCAGCCATTCCCATTATTTTCTGTGGAAGTCTTGAGGAGTCTTTGCTAAGCTGTTGTGACTTCAGATTTAAAACCAAGCATTAACTTCTGGGCTAAGAGGACTCCTTGGTAGTTAAGAGAGTCCACAGGAGCAAGAGATTTTTCCCCTGCTTTCCCAACTGTGTGTGGGGTCTAACATAGCCCCCAAAGCCCCTCTTGCCAGTCCACTCCCACAGGCACCTGTACCCTGCCCCAGAAACACAGACTGAACAAACACCACACTCTGGGCTCAGAGGGGAAGGAGAAGGGCTGGGGTTAAAAAAACAAAACAGAAACTCCAAACAGACTGACACAAAGGACATACAAAGCAGGAGAAGCTATGAAAATATGTTGAGATGGTCAAGAAAAGTCACATCAAAATATATTTAAAAAACAGAAATTCCAATCTGTGTGGAATTTAAAACTCCTTTCCCCACCATTTGTTTTTCCTCTGCTCAAGGAGTCTCTGTTGTTCCAGGACATGGAACATGATAGGCAGCACCAGTTATGTCCTGAAAAGGGTAGAATTCCTCTCAACTCATCTGAGCACTTCCACCATTGACAAAGAAAAAGAATTATATATACCTCAACAATTGCCCCACCCTCCCTCTTTTCCATTCTACAGTGGGCAGGAGAAGAGACTGCAAACAAATTTGACTTTCTGTTGTCAGGTAAGTCCCATTTTTCCACACATCAATATCCCTGCAATCCATTGTACACCTTCTGCACCGATCCTTGTTTCAGTAACTGTTTGAGACCTGCAAAAGAAAGGAAGGCATCACTACACAGCAGAAACAGGAGGACCCTGCATTTAGTGTTCCTGCTGCATCTACACATCCGGCTCAGAGACCCCCTGTGGCTGAGCCCATTTAAATAACACATACTGGTATACTAAGCGAATCATAAAAACCCCCAATAAAGTAAGAAAAACCCTCCCAAACCCAGTGGTGAGACAGCTTGACTCCTACTCCTTCAGCATTCCAACCAGGAGAAACTGGACTGAGGTTAGTGATGTTGTAACAGGGCTTTCATGCACTCTCAGGACCACAAAAGACCAGTGGTTCCAGGGAGAAAGCCTCCTTTGCTACCAAACTCAAGTTCCTCACAGCTCTGTAAGGGATAAAGCTGACTCCCAGAGCTGCTTTGCTGTTGAAGTTGACACCAATTTTGTCATCTTGAAGTACAAATGCAACAACAAACAACTCAGTATTTCCAGAGTCTAACTGATCTTACTTACCTCCCCAGGCTCCCTCTACAACCCCAGAGAAACCTGCTGACAGCAAGCTCAGGAGGGCTACATTTGAGTCCTGGACTTGCCAGCTACTGAAATCCACAGGAGTAACTAGAAAGCAGAGGTTTGTTTTCACACTGGTATGTGGTACCTGGGGACACTACTGTCCACTAGAAGTAGCCCCTGAAGGCAAGCAAGAAAAGCAGACTTATCTATGGGCTTAAGGATCCTACTGAAGGCCTGACAATCTTAAGGTTTTGTTTGAAACCCACTGTTTCACAAGGGAGTCTAGATGACTTTTCAAGTATCACCTTCCCCATTCATAAAACATTTCAAAGAACTGACTGCTCTGAGGTCCTGGCAGTATTAAATTCTTAACCAGAACAGGATAAAAGTGTCTCAGCCTTTAAAACCCCAACAGCTCATCTACTGGGGTCAGCGCACTCAGGGAAAGACTGGCAGTGCTACTTAAAGGGCAAGTCCGTACAAAACAGAGGAAGCAGGCTGGCAAGAACAGATGTGTCACACTTTTTTCCAGATATAAAGAGGGAGTCCCCTCTGATTAAAGTCATCTTGGACACACACTGCCAAGACTGCCACTGCCCTGGCCACAACATCCCTCAGGGCATGACAGCATCTCTGCTCTGACCAGCACCAGATACCACTGAGCCTGAACAGGGGCTGTCAGGACTCAGAAAGGAGAAGTACCAAACACCATGGGAAACTTACAAATAATAATTAAAAAAATTGAGCTAAACTGCTATAATTATGCTGTTGGATGATCCCCAGAACAAAGCAGCTGGCTTGCACCTCAACATGAGAGAAGATGGGACTGCAGTCCTGCCTCAGATGAGATTAATCTGCTGCTCCACTGAAGCCAAAGTCTTGGCATCACAGTGTACATATTCGTACAACAGGTCAGATTAGGCTGCCTAGAAAATACTGCCATAGGTGTTAACTTTAAGTGAGGTACTCAAGCATGGGGAGGGAATATCAGCAATTAAACGAACCAATGCCTGAAAGGTTAGGGGTTTTTTCCTGTACAAGTCCTTCAAGAAATCCAGCTAAAAGAGAGTATTGTCTCCCTGCAAACCTTGTCCTGCTTGTCTACCTTTAAATCATTCTGGCTACAGATACTACTGTTCTTTAAGACCAGTGATTTCATGCATAAGGGTCACAGCAGCTGTTAAAATACTGAAAAACTGTTCTCGAAGTAGTAACTAGAAGAGAGACGGCTCTCTGCCAGGCAAGAGTTATTCGTGCTTCTTGCTTGGTAGCCAGAGAATCCTGAATTCTTCTACATTCAGAAACATCCCTAACTGTGGGGCAAAGTGACCCCCTACACAGGAGCCCCATATCATTAAGGACAGATCATTCTCCAGGGGAGTGCAATGTAAGTTCACTTCCCCTCCACTGCCAAAGGAGGCTGCAAGTCACTTCCTGGCTAATGGGCAAGAGGATGTGCCTCCTGGATGTGTGGTTCTTTGAAAGGAAGGCCCTAGCTGGAGAAAGGTGTGCTCCAGTAACCCTGAAAGCACCATTCCTGTACCTCATTTCCTGATAGCAAGCTCTAGGCAGCTGCCTGCTGGCCTGAAGGATACCCCCATTATTGCACAGGATATTTCAACACATACCTGATATTCAGCCAGGAATTCCAGTCAGGTGCTACAGCACCTCAGGCATATTTTACTAGAGCCAACTTCGAGATTATTCTGACACCATCAGCAGGTGACAGGTTACAACACAACCTGGGCACTTTGCTAAGCATGCTGCTGCTCACTGAACACTCCAGAGTTAAATCATGGAATCCAAAGCTCCAAAACAGACTATAAACAAGCATCAGTAAAGACAAATGAGAAATGTCAAAGAGAAAAAGTCACCTCTGATCAACAGGCAGTAAATTCCCTGATGTCACTCTGGCAGGAAAGAAAGCATATTATTTCTCTGACTCTAAAGCTTTGACTGACCAGAGTGGTGCTCCCCAAGTCAGAGTATCCTCTGACTGCCCCAGGAGCTGTGCATATGGTAATGAGATAAGAAATTAGGACCACTGCCAACAATAAGAAAAAAGGGATGTTTTGAATTCTGAAGCCTACAGTCTTCCTTTGAATGTGTACACTGAACTGCTGCCACACAACATGAATAGATATATTCCCTCATAAAACTCCTTAAATCACTGGATGTTTGGAGATATTCTAGCACACAGAAATACATCTGACTGCCTACCCAGTCACCTTCCTCTGGGGAGCACAGAATTGCTTTAGGAGGGAGTGAAACACCCAAAGGGCTTGTGCCTGAATACACTCATGCCAGTACCATCACCTCTCTGATGCCAGAATACCCATGAAGGTGTGTGAGCAAGCTTGACAAAACACAGAGGCTTCTCCTTGCCTCTTCTAAATTGCAAAGAGCAACAGCTGGAATAACTTCAGGTCTGTTTGAGAGGTACTGTTGCCTTACAAAACTTCAAGAAGGGCAGCAGATCCTGGAACAAGACTTCACACCCACGCGGTCACTGTGCTTTGCAGCCCTCAGTGGACACAACACACTTGCAACAAGCGGGAAAGCACAAGGGTCAAAACACAAAACAAGTGCACTCAAAACACAGCCCAAAGGCACACACCTCACTGCAGAGGTCTGCAACAAACAGCTGCAGAATCATAGAACATCAACCCTGGAGCTGCAGCTACCAACTGGGCTCCATGTAGTAGCTAGCAGAGCATGGCCAACACAACAGTAAATGCCACAGGGCTGAAAAAGCCCTCCCAGGGCTTGGCTTCCCTCTACACACTTGAAGAGTAACAGGAAAGCTGCACATATGCCTCATTCCACCAGGACAGCTGCCAGAATCCACTAAAAAGGTAACTTCAGATGAAGGTAGCCCTTCATCTGAAGGAAGGGCTCTGGGGTCAGGGATTTTCTGAAGAGCTGCACTGGTACATTCCAGGAACTTCTTTGTCCTGTAGCAGAGGATAGGGCCCTTGATGCCTACTCTGAAACCCTGTGAACATACCGCAGAGGCTGCTGAAACAAAGAGGAATTTCCAGCTAGGAGTATAATATTTACCCTCCTGTCAATTTTGGGATTTCTACATGGGTCTTCAAATTTCCATTTGAGTACTGAAGCCGAGAAGCAGATTTCCATTGCATTCCTTCTTCCCTAAAGAGCCACAAAGCACTTAAGAGTAGAAGGAGAGGGAGGAGAGAGGAACAATCCTTCTGATGCTGTAGACTCCCTTTACCCTTGACAGCAGAGGGATTTTCACAAGTCTTGCCTCTAAGAAAAGTAGAAGCAGGGGCTGGAAAACTGCCTGTGATCCCATTCCAGAAGAAGCAAAGCAGGCAGAAGCTAAGCCCAGTAAGTCCTTCAGTTCAGACAGATGGCGAGCTACAAAACAAAGAACCTGCAAATTTGCCAAGTGCTATGTCCCAGCAGTAACACATCCCAACTTAATCTGGCTCCCTACAACTGCAGCAGCCAAGTTCACTTGGCTTCAAAGGGAAATGGAAGTTAATCACAGGGCATTGGCCAACTGTGTTACGTTGTACAAGGGGCACAGAAAAAGGAGAGCCCCTCCTGACCACTGCAGGCCCTGATTCTGTTGTGCCAACATCTTATCAGCTTTGGCTGGAGGTCTGTGCAGCCTGCTGCCATGGCAGGGCTTGAAAACACGCACCTTCCCGCTGCTCGTTAGTCAGTTGCTCTTTGGGGAACTCCACATCAAACGTTATTATTAGCGAGCCTTTGATATTATTGTTATCAAAATTTGGAAGACCTTCTCCTTTCTTCCACAGTTTGGCCCCAGGTTTCGTAATTTTATCCCGAGCAATGTGAACCTAGAGACAAAAGGAATTTCAGGACATTACTAGTGTTCTGTGTGTACCCCAACACTCCAGTGCCCTTTCCAACCCACTGGAAAGCTTCAATTGATATTAATTCTTTGCCAAGGTCAGCAATATGTAAGGGGTCCAGGCAGTGTTACTGCCAGAACTAACACCATTGAAGACAGCAGATGAAGTAACTGCTGTGACAGCCAGGAACTGAGCTCCCTGTAGAGCCCATTATGACTCCCTGGGAACTGGTCTGGAAGGCACTAGGCAAGGGGATGCTGTATGCAACCAGCAGCAGCACAGCCCCTGAGCAAGCTAAGGCCTCAGCACAGGAGGCCTGCAGTTAGATTTTCTTTACACAGAGCAAGAAGACAAATTGTTGTCTCACCTTGTGCCCATCCAAGTGGGCAATATCCATTTCAAAGCCTGTAAGTGCCTCGACCAGCGAGATTGTCACATTTGTATACAAGTCATCTCCTCTTCTTTCAAAGACTGGGTGCCTGTGGAAATAAAAACCATTGGAACTTTTCTTCTTCCCCATAGGGAAAATAGGTTCTCTAGCTTCTTCCCCTCTGTTTATAAGTTTAGAGAATTCACAAATCAGAGAGGAAGCGAAGAATGAACTAAATTTAGCTTCATTTTCCTGTGTATGGCATGTACTACCAAATAACCCTTCTATTTCTAGGGCAGTGAGTGGCAAGGCGTGTCAAGAAGCTGTGACTCACACAACTCTTTTCTTAGTAGTGCATTTCCTTACAATAGGGAGATAGTATGTTTATGGAAAAAGGAAATTTTTCATGTGATTCACACAGGAGCCTCTAATGCATGCCAGTGTTCAAGCCAAGTAAAAGTGGAATTATCACAGCATCTTAAGTGGTGAATCCACCTACTCTAGCATCAGCAGGGTTGAACATCCTGCGCAGCCCTTAGTAACAAACCCCTGGCCACATCAACTCTGCTGAAGGGTTGCTACATGCTAGCCAAGCAGGCAATGCTGGCCAGAAAATCACTTGCAAGCTTCCTTTTATAGTAACCAGAAACAGCAGACTACCTAGGCCAGTTACTTACTTAAGGACTTTTATTCGGAAGCGCAAATCACCTGGCTCCCCATCCACATGGGGCTCACCTGTGAAAAGAAAAGCTCTGTTTAATGGAGCTAGTTACTAATCACTGAAGAAACAAGCAGCATATTAAACATGAGAGAGGTCTACAGCTCACATGTTGCAAGAAAAAAAAAAACCAAGTAATCAATCTTTACATGACTAAAACCCTCCTTGCACAGATCTGTTATTAGAGAGCATAGGACTTTTGAGTATTGACTCAATGAGCTCATACCTGTCTGCTGCTCTGAAAGACTTGCCTGCATGCTAATGATGTCCTTGTTGAAGGACTTACTTCCTTGGGCAGAGAGATTCCCTCACATACTCAAGCCTGGAACAGATGCTCCTACTCAAAAGTTATGTGAAACATCAGATGTGGAGATTTTTTTTATACTTTTTTTTGTGCACACTCCAGTACCAGCAAAGGAAGCAGAACTTGGAGCGGTCTCCAGACTTAGCAAAGAGTATGCTCCTGGATTTCAGCAGCAGCAGAGAACACAGCACTTCAAACTGCATGTGCTGATCAGTTACCAAAAGCAGGGCTTGGACACTTCGACTGCCAAAGACCAGCCTTGCATTACAGGAAAGGAGCAAGTCAAAGCTGAGCAGCAGGGCAGTGCCCATATACATACCTTCACCAATGAAGGGATACTCCATACTATCCCTCACACCTGGCTCTATCTCCACTTCTAGCGTTCGCTCCTCATTCACAAGCCTGCAAAGTGGAAAGTAGCCAAGCACTAAGTTTCCAACACTAGGTAGTAGCACCTACTTATTTTACTGGGGTAACACTAGAACTGGAGACTGAGTGCTGCCTTTCTTGTGTGCTGATACTCACCTTCCAGAGAAGGCAAAGTTAAGCCACTAAGTGCACAGGGCAGCACCTGGATGTGCAATTATACCACAGTATTCCGTGTCCAGCTGTTCCCAGCTGGAAACTCTGACCGTATCTCAATTTGTTTATTGACATTTAGTTGTGGAACTCCCACTGTAGTATTACTGATTGTTCAAGGAAAAAAGAGGCTGAAGGAGCAAACTGGGGAGCTCTGCTTCTAATGATCTAGAGATGGCCAGCTCTACTATAAGAATAAGGACTGGCTCCTTGGAAATGAGAAACCTGTGTTAAGCTTTTCCTGCCAGATCTTATTGGTAGTACAGGCGCCTCCCTCCATCTAGTGGTAGGTTTTGAATAAACACCCATATATCATTAAAGAGCATAAAACTTACTTAACATTTGGACATTCATCACAAACAACTTCTTGCGTCATCTGGAAGCGTCCAGGACCCAACTGGGTGGTCCTCATCTCCTGACGGCAATTGCATTTCCGTTTGCCAGGTGCCTGTCTTGCCACTGGCTTGTTCCTGACAACCTGCACAGAGGAGGAAGAGGTCAATACTCACAGCACATAAGCCAGCAGCACTCCTGGGTATCCACAAGGGTCTGGATTTCTCAAGCAGCCTGAAAATAAATTTCGGTTTGTGTGCTGCCTTTTCAGTCCACTCTCCAAGTGGCCTCAGCAAAACATTCTGACAACAGTTTTCATCTTGTGCCTCTTGCTGATCACACATTAAATACCAGAAAAACCTCTCTAGGACTCCACTATTCCCATTTACTTTTACTATTTTCCTGCACAACAGAAATAGAAAGGTAACACTAGGATGAAAAACCTCACACTTTGGTTACAATTGCTGCCTTGTACTGCACAATGGGCAAAATTATTCCAAGTTCCTCATTTACCCAGAATCTCAAGCTCAATCAACACAAATTTTACATGCAGAGTAGCAGGGATTGTCAGCATCAGAAATGTAGCTTATTTAAAACAAATACCAGAAAATTAAAAGGCCACCATATATTTGCCAAGTATGTAACCCAACAATTTGCAGTGACATGTCTGGCCATATAAAGAGGCTATGAAAAATCCTCAACATGGTTTTGAAAGAATTACAGAATGAATTTAAGGCTTACGAATGGGCCCTCAAATATCAGTAAATTCTACAGAGAGACCACTTACACTTTTTCCAACTGGGCTACTGCAGTAAAAACAAGCTACAACTAGTCACTGGCAGTAAATAAATAAGCTATCATCACAAGAAGCATCCTTTTATAGAGAATGGCAGATGGCAAAGATGAGTAAGTGTGTTGTTTCTTCAGTTAACTACTAACAAACAGCATCGTAACAGCCTTCACTATCCCTGCAAAATACTGAGAACTGAGCACCTATTTTAGTTCTGTTCTTTGGGACATGATATCCTTCTGAGCAGCGGCCGGGACAGACATCTCAAACCCGAGACCACACTGGAGAGACCAACAGGCAACCACACTTACTTCCACGAAGTTTCCTGAATACACCTCCTCAAGTGTAACCTCGAGGTCCACAATAATGTCACTTCCTCGGGGAATGTTCCTGTCTTGTTGGCGAGGGTTACCTCCAAACATGAATCCAAAGTCCCCAAAGAAGCTGGAGTAAAGCATATCAATTAGTTCAGGAAGGAATTCTCATCAAGTAAAGCTCTGAAAGAGAGAGCCATCCAAGGCAGAAGTAATATGTTACTTGGCAAATGCTTCTAGCCCACTGGAGAACAGCCCCCTCACAGTACAAAAGCACCACAGTAAATCCAGATACCTCTTTTTGCTCCTCCAGAACACAAGCTAATGCCTTCAAACAAAGTTGTCACATTGGAAGATATTTCTGTACTAAAGAAAACCAGTTTTGGAGCAGGAGTTGAACGCCAACACCTCAAAATCCGACCACTGCCTAAGGGAAGACCTCTCCTTATTACACTGCAACCATCACCACAAGGCACCACCTCTGAGTAGAACTCCACTTCTGGCATTGCAAGTAAAACACTAGAAGCTGTTTTTCAATAGTTTAAGGACAAGGGGCAGGGATGAGAAAAAGCTTCCTAGCAAGTCCATGTATTTTTCTCAAAACAGACCAGCTGTGAGATCTCACCCAGAAGGATTACCCAAGATGAGCAACTTCAAGAGTTGTTCTAGTAAATTTGTGCCTAGCAGAACCAAAGGGGGCTTAAGCAGAAAATCAGGTTCTGCCTGAGTAACCTAGAAGTGCCTTCAGATTTTACTGATCCAAATTCTACAGTTGTCTACATCTTACTGTAAGTCACTACAGCATTACTTTGCAAAAGAAAAAAGTGACCCAAAGTACACACATGATCTGTGACAACAGGTTAAACATCAAGACACCACTGGCTCCTACTCACTGAAGCAAGGACTGTTGCATGACAGCCAACTGAAAATTGCACATGGGATATCTACTGTAAATATATTTCCTCAGATTCTCAACTGTTACTTCAAATCAGTGCCTCCAGACTGGGTAAAACACCTTAACATAGAATTTGCCCACACCAAACATGCGCATGAGCATCACAAAATTAGAGTTACCAACAGCAGAACAGCCTGAAATGGCAAAATCTCCTTACTGTGAGAATATGTCTCCATGAGAGCTCTGGTGCCCATCCTTCAATCCCTCCTCACCATATGCATCATATTGCTTCCTCTTCTCCTCATCTGACAGCACCTGGCAAGGGCATGAAAACAGACAAAAGCCATTCACCCACAGCTGAGCTGAGTTATTTGAACAAGGCTCTGAGAGGAAGCAGCTCACCAGTGCTCTTCACTGGGGGACAAGCAGCAATGCTTTACATTACAGAAGCACTGGCCAGAACTTCCTTGCTGCACTGAACTAGAGAAGTTAAACATTTATAAGTTAAACCCATTAAAAAAAAAAGTTATTTTAACAAATCAGCAGAAGCAACACAGAAAATTAAAGTAACACTGAGTTTTCTTACACATTAAAAAAATAATCAGAAGGAATAATTCAAATAAGTTCCTACAAAGCAGCAAACTGGAAAAAAACCCCAAACAAACAACAACCCATAAAATCACATAGTACTACCCGTTTCTCAGTTAGTTCTTCAAGCCTGCAGAATGTGTATTTCTCCACTATTTTGTAGACATTAGCAATGATGGCAAATTTGCCTGCCGAGCTGAACCTGCCAAATATAGTAACTCTGCACTAGTTTGAATGCTGGCCCTTATTCCAAAGGACCACAGAAGTTAGAAGTGACTTCAGTACTGAGGCAGAACAACACATATGACTTTCAGGACTTCAATTTTAATTCCTGAGCACTGATCTTTGTTTTTTCCTCCCCCAGGGACCCAGAAGTTTCCAGTCACATTTAGTTTTTCTCCCCCTTCTTCACTTGTTGATCATAGTTAGGAAGGTTAAAATTGCCAAGTTAGCTTTCAAAAGGCTAGAGAGGAATGAAAACAAATTGAGAAGCAACTAAACAGCTGGAGAAGCTGATTAAATGATGAAAACCAGCCTGAAATTGTAACTGATGGTAAATGCTAAGCAACAGAGGAAAAAACCCAAGTGACTTCATTAGTATCATCTAGTAGATGAGTTAAATTCTCCCTCTGTCCCAATTTCCATTAAACTCCACATTTCCCAAGGCTGTTGGAAAACACAACTCTAATAACACAATTTCAAGTACTATGAAGAGACTTCTGGATTGTTACATTTAGTTGCCTTGAGAGCAAAGCAACTACAGCGGACAAGCTTAGGGAAAAAAGCCCCAACCAAATAAACATCAAAACTCCACCCTGAGACTAACTACAGACTGGTTTGGCTTGGAAGGGTCTTTGAAGCTCATCCAGTTCCAACAACCCCCTGCCACGGGCAGGGACACCTTCCACTAGAGCAGGTTGCTCCAAGCCCCTGTGTCCAACCTGGCCTTGAACACTGCCAGGGATGGGGCAGCCACAGCTTCTCTGGGCACCCTGTGCCAGCGCCTCAGCACCCTCACAGGGAAGAAATTCCTTATAGCTTATCTAAATCTCCCCTCTGTCAGTTTAAAGCCTCTTCCCCTTGTACTGTCACCACATGCCCTTGTAAAAAGTCCCTCTCCAGCTTCCTTGTAGGCCCTCTGAAGTAGTCTCAGTTCCCTCACATTGATTGAGTCTTCTTTCTGAGTGAAACAACTGCATACAGACCACACAGCTGCAGGGTGGAAATCACCTAGGCTGTTATGAAAATGAGAAAGAACAAGTAGTTAATCTACTTTCCCCACATTTTCTTTGAAGACTTTGCTATAGATAGTCAGCCAGCCAAACCCTGAGGAGCAGTACTACTAACAAAGACTGTTTTGCTTTATGGCAAAAAGCATGCTGGTTTAGGTTACAACATACACATAATTCTACCTCCCTTTTGCCCCAAACAATCTAATCGACACTCTGAATCTAGTAGCCACTTTAGCAGAAGGATTTGCAAGTTGTACTTGCTAAACAAAGAGACAAAGACCTTGCAGACATCAAAACATTACTCCTCCCAATCCTATTTTAAAAGCACACATAAATCAATACTGGATTTCAATAGTCTGATGCATCAGTCTCCAGCTGAAGACCCTGAAGGGAGGTTTTCTAGTTGAATTTTACCAGCATCCAGCAAGAGCATGTTGCATTCATATTGTCTGTGCTAGCACCAGCACTCCACACTTGATGTTGAACAAGGACACTGTTGTGCTTCAGTAACATCTTGGTTAGGGGAAAATAGGCTCAGTCACTGCTCATAATAGTTACTATTCAGCTCCTCCTGCCACCACATCCCCTGCTGATTTGATTTTAATTTGCTTTTAATAGAAGGAATACTCTCAACTGTTACTATGGCAAAGAAATAAACTGGGACTCAAGGAAAAGGTAGAGAAATGCTTCCTGTGCTTACTGTTCAATATGACAAGTTCCCAACTGAGAAATGACAACAAGCTCACAGAGCTTTGAAGTAAACTGCATTCATCAATTTCCAGATACTGCAAATGACAGGTAATAAATACTTCTGTCCACAGAAAATTCTTTATGTCCACTGGTTTCCCTGTGATAGTTCAGCCAATTTATTTAAACGGGTAACTCTGAACTAAAAAGAGGTTCAGGTCTGATACAAAAGTCAAGTCAAATGTGTTTTCTTTCTGATCTTTCATTTCCTATCAGCTGAGCCTTACTCACAGCCACACACACATTTGTTCTTGCGCCAATACTTAGGGTTGCATCAGCTATATTCATTCCTCAAAGAGCTATTAATACCAAAGAATTTAGGTTGCTGCCCTCACTTTCCTCTGGTTAAGTAAGCTGAGGTCTTTAATTGTCCTCTGTCAGAAGGAGCTCTGTAATCAACCTGGCAGCCTCTCCACCTTTGTTTTTTATTTGGTAGAATGCCTGAAATTCAATACAGTAACAGTGGAAGGCTGGATTGCACCCACACCTTATTAGAAGGCCTCCTTTCTTGTTCCCCTGAAAGTTATAGGACAAAGCTTCACGAGACTACTTGTTAGCCGAGGTCAGCCTCATGCTCCCAGCATCACAGAGTAGGTTGGAAAAGACCTTAAAGCTCATCCAGTTCCACCCCCCTGCCATGGGCAGGGACACCTTCCACTAGAGCAGGTTGCTCCAAGCCCCATCTACCCTTCACAGTCTGAGGAAGGCCGGGAGCACTTAAGCTTCCCCGAGTTCCTTACAACAGGGGGAACAGCTTCGCCCCTCTCCCTCCCCAGCAGCTACACCAGTCCTCACTACACCCTGCCCTACACAGTGCCTGCAGATA